ATGGTGCCTTGCAAGATGGCTTCTTCTATGGCTGTGCTTCACAAGACGAATGGTTTTTTTTTTTCAAGACCGATGCCTCGGAAAACGAATGAATTTTCGCAAGACAGCGCTACTCACGGAACAAATTACATTCGTCTTGCGAGGCACCACTGCATTTTTGTCTCAGGGGTGAAACGATAGTTGCTAAGCATCCCAGCTTCCTCTGTTTTTACCACAACTGTCGTTCAGCCCCATCATGTTTCTGCCCATCCTGAGGGGTGGAGAAGGCAGGCCTTTGTGGTTGCCTAGCAATGGATAGTCTACTGCCCTTTCCCATCAAGAATAAGCTTAGACTTCAGAACTGGAAGGGACCCTGTGGATCATTGAGCCCAGCTCCTGTCAAGGAGGCACTGTGGGGAATCAATCTCCCAGTCTTTGGCTCTGCAGCCAGAGGCCTCAGCCGCTGAGCTGTCCAGGAGTTCCTGGAGAAGTCCATAAGACTCTGCCCTTTGGTTGTCAGGAAACGGTCAATGGCTGCCCGTGACAGCCTTGGCAACTGGGATGAAGACGAAATGAAAATTTGCTCTTCCCACTCCCCTCATCCAAAATGGTGAAATGGTGCCAAAGGCAAGATGTTCTAGAGTATACTCGATTTCTTTTACATATTCTTTTGAACAACAGTTTCCAGACTTCTCTAGCCATTGCAGTAGTTGGATTTTTGGAATTTTAGTCCAAAAAATAAAGTGGTAATGACATGATCAAAATCATCTTTCTGGGCAGATTGAAACCCCTGTCTGTTCAGGTGCCTGCACAGTTTCAGCCGAGACGTTTAGATCCTGGGCCTCTGGAATCACCTCGTTCCCCAGAGGTAAGCGGCTTGGGATTTTGAACTCTGAGAGGCTCTTGGCCAATGGCTGCAGAGTTGTATGGGAAGACTGGAAGATGGCAGAGATTTTATGGGCCTCAGGCAGTACATTTTTTTCCTCCCTTTGTCTTCCACATCTCTTCAGGAACCAGGAGAGATCCAGCCGCTTCCTGGTTCAGACACAGCAAGGAACAATTTCCCTTTGGCGCAAGAAATGGTCCAGCCAGAGAAAGACAGTATGGAGACACCTTTCACTTTTCCTTATTCTTGGATAAAACTTTACTCCTAAGTTCAGCTTATTGGTCCGTTATTTTCTATTTCACATGACAGCAGCGTGTGAAGGACTTGGCCTGAGGTCTTTATTTATTTATTTTCATACTTGATGATTACATTTATAGCTGACTTTCCCAACAAAAAAAATTAGTGCTCAAGGTGCCTTTAAAGACTTTGTGAAAGAATAAAAACAAGTAAAGCCAAATTGCTGTCTCCGTTTATGGCTAATTTTTAAAATTAAATTAACATTAAAAAAATCACTTTCAAATAATACAGTCCTCATTTTCCGGAAGGAGCAAAAGTATTATTTTTATTATTAATATGCTTCAAGGAGCATAATAATTTATGAATAATAATTCGTGAAAGTGATAAATACCTTTGGGTTGTTTTTTTTGTGCTGCTCCTCACACCAGCCTGTCTAGTTCAAAAGCGAAGCTTTGACTTAGATGACCTTGTGAACTCTACTCCTGAATTGGCACCTGATCCCCAGCAAGCAAGCAGGTAAGAGAGATGGGTTCCTGTCTTTAGCTTCTGAACAGGAAGCTACGTATATTGATTGACACAACACCACTGACCTACGCTCAGGCATGTCCATGTCTCCAGCATAGTGAGATAACAGTGTGACTTTTCCTTCCTGCCTCCCCCGACCTTAGGAAGATCATCCCATCCCATAATCCTGCAGAGTCTCTTCTATCTCTTTTCACCCTGTCAGTGCTCTCACTTCAGGAAAAGTTGCAGTTATCTATCACATGGGCTTCTTTGGAGGACCATGTACCACTGAGTTGGATGGCCAGACTGTCAACACCTTTCTCTTCTTGTACCCCCCTTTCTGCAACTTTGGTTTTGAAAGCACTATGTGTAATCATGTTTTGAGGACGATGCCTTTGTATTCTTCTTGCACGCACATGCGCATGCACACACCGAGTGCCAAACCTACTAATGGGTTGCTGTCTTTTGTGGTGTCCGATGTGAGCATGTGTTGTTGTCAGGATGTGGGTGGGCGGGAACACCGTCTGTCTATCTGTTTGTCTGTCTGTCTCTCAGCCCCCTGAGTACCCCCCTCGAGCGCAACACGGTCTCCCTTTTCGCCGAGGTCTCGGGCCTCAGCCCTGAACTTCTCAGCGATATGGATGACGGCGCCGATTTGCAGGGTAGGTGCCATTTCCTAGTTCTGTATTCCTGTGGGAACCAAGTGCTCTCCCACCAAGTCCCTCACAGCCAGCCTTTTAATCCAATCAATATCTCTCTGAAAAAATTGTTCTTGTAGCCCCCCCCCACCTCCCAAGCCTCTGAAGAATTAGGATTTAATCTGCACCCCAGCAATTCAGTGATGTCCATATTTGGTCGTATTTCCAGGTGATGCCCTAAAAACCGTGATAGCAGAAAATGCCAAGCTGCAAGAAGAACGGTAAGGATGAGCCTTCTGTTTCCCAGTTTCACGGGATGGTTTGGGAAGGAAAAACTCATGCATGCCCAGGTCGAGGGTGACCTACTTGGCAGGCAACGAAGAGAAGTGTGGATCCTGCCCTGCCTGCCTTATCACCACTTGGAGAGTCTGTATCTCAGCTGGATTTTACATGGTTCACAACGTTGGGTAACTCTAATTTTCTTGGACTGCTATTCTCAGAAGCCTTCACCACCCGCTGTGCTAGCCAGTGTGTTTGGGAATTACAGTCCAAAAACACCTGAGTTACAGAAGGTTGGGAACCACTGTCCTCCCTTGTATGACTGGTCCTGATGTTGATGTCTTTGTCCCGCTCGCCGTCCCGTCTCCAGGATCATGCTAGACACTGCCCGCCGCCACCTCATTGCCCGGGTAGAAGAGCTGAGTGAGGAGCGTGAGTCTTTGCGGATGGAGCGTGAGGGCACCGTGGGGGCCCTGAGCCGCTGCCAAGCCCAGCTGAAAGAGGCTGAGTTGGAGCTTATCCGGTAAGACCTGGTCACTGCTTTTCCTCCTGCTGAGAACACTTCTTCTAAGCCCCCCCCTTTTGTCTGTGGGACAGTCCAGGCTCTAGTAAAGCACAGGAGAGCAGCACCTCAAAACAGCAGTACATAAATACCTTGTGTGATGGCTCGTGGAACACGAATGGAGAAACACCCCCTCTTCCAACCCAGGAGATCAATCAATACTTATCGTTAATTTTATATTTTGACTGCATTTTTGAGCACAGGAGAGCAGCACCTCAAAACAGCAATTCCTGTTCTTGTACGATGGCTCATAGAACAGGAGAAACACCCCCTCTTCCAACCCAGGAGATCAATCAATACTTATCGTTAATTTTATATTTTGACTGCATTTTTGAGCCATCTGTCTCTCTTATTCTAGGATCCGGCAGGAATTTGAGGAAAGAAGACGCTCGAGTGAAGATGGAGAGGTAACCAGAGTGCCCTCATCATGGCTGGCAGTAACGTTTCGTTCTCTGGAAGGCAGATAGGGCCGGGGGAAGGGTTTCTGGGTTTCTGATACCACAGGAACTGGACTGTGGCGTGTGGTCCCTTTCTGAGAGAAATGTGCACGTTTCGTTCTCTGGAAGGCAGATAGGGCTGAGGAAGGGTTTCTGAGTTTCTGATAACACAGGAACTGGACTGTGGCATGTGGTCCCTTTCTGAGAGAAATGTGTATAGGTTTTTCTGAAGCAGGGTTGCTCTCTCCCTCCGTAGGCTGAAGGGAGCTCATCCCAGCCGCAGAAGTTTACCCGCGCTGAGATGGCCCGCGTGGTGATGGAGCGCAATCTCTACAAGGAGAGGCTGATGGAACTGCAAGAAACGGTTCGGCGTACTGACCTACTCAGGTCAGCAGGCCTCAGGGTTTGAGGGGCCTCAGGCTAGGTTTGTGAGGGACGGGAAAATGGCTAAGTAGCAGATAGCTGCGTTAGTCTGTTGTAAAAAATTTCAAGTATCAGGATGTTTCAGTGGAGACTGAGGCCAAGATCACCCATTTGGTGATGTTCCCAATTGCTCCATAGCTGGACGATAGAAAGCTGACATGTTCCCAATTGCTCCATAGCTGGACGATGAAGGAAGCTGACAGGGGGTGGGAATCAATTCATGAGAAATATGGTGCCCGAGAAGAGCTTCATGGATACCTTGGACCACCAGATAGACAAATAATTGGTGTTTCGAGTAAATCAAATCTGAACTTATACTAGAAGCTGCAATGACTAAACTGGGGCTCTTTTGCTTAAGAGTTTCCACTCTATTTAGCTTTATTTTATCTGTACAACTTGGACTGGAAGAGATGAGAGAGAGTTAAAGCTGGCAAATTAATAGCTTTCCTCCTTGTAACCTGGATTACTAGTAGTTGAGGTGAGATTTAGGCTTGCCACATGTTCATAACCACCACTGCAGACAAAATAGCTCTTTTATGTAGTTTTAATGGAGGGGTAGGAACACATCAGTTGTGTCCATGATTGGGATTGCCTGCTTTCCTTTTCTAGCCTTGAGGACTAGTAACTCATAAAAATAGAAGCAAAGAAGTCAGGTACTGTCAAGGCTGTCCTTAAACAATTGTTTTTCTTTCTTCCCAGGGCTTCGCGAGAGGAACAGGCTGTTCAGATGAAAAAGTCTTCTTTCTGGAAAATGTAGGTGCCATATAAGGTCTACGCCAATAGTTGTTCACACTGCATGATTCTAGACAATATCTAAGGAAAAGGGTTCTGAAATCTAGTAACTGTAACTGTATATGTTTTAGTATACTAAGGATGATTTAATGCTGTAATTTATTGTATTTTACATCTGTTCTTGTAGCAATATATTGTAAACCATCTTATTTATTTATTATGTTTATTTATAGGGGACTCAAGGTGGCTCACAACAGATAAAAAAGTTTAAAAGCACTATATAAATATCACTTATATCAATGTGTGTTTAAGATTAAAACTTAAGTATGTATGTATGTATTTATTTATTTATTTATTTATTTATTTTGTACCCCGCCAATCTGATGCCATGACCACTCTAGGAGGCTAAGTAAACATAAAATAAAGCATAAAATGAATTCATAATCATTTGGGCTTCTCCAAATGATCAATATTAATGATTTTGTTTTCATGAAACAATTTATCTAGATAGGGAAACATTTGTTGCTGGAGCAGCAAAAATGTTGATAATGCTACATCTGGGTACTTTCTGCTTTATTTTTCATGAAACTACACTCAGAGTTGAAAGATAGGTTTAGCAAAACTGTTATGCCTTGCACCCCGTACAATCATAAAATTATAGATTTGGAAAAGTTCTCAGGGCCATCTAGTTAACTCCCTGCTAGTGCAGAGAATGGACCCTACTTCTACATTTTCATCGTTCCATGCTTGCTGTATGGGTAAATGCTTTTTGCTAGATGATGATTTCGCTAAACAGCAATTTCAGTGGAACGGATTATCATCGTCTAGCAAGGCACCACTGTAATTGCTGTTTGGTGTATTCCTAATTAAGTTTGCAGCTCAAGGCACCACTGTATTGAGTTAGAAAGTCTTTGTTACCATTAACTCTGGACCAGAAAGGAGAACAAAACTCTGCAAACAAGCTGTTTGATAATGCTGGAATTGCTTTATTTATACAGACTACCTGTTCTTAGTACAGAAATCTGTTTTTCTTTGCTTACTGAATTTTGAAATACTTTGTAAAGAATGAGAGTGCAAGCAGTTCTCCATGCTCTTCCAGTTTTCCCTTAATGACATTGGTTTCTGTCTCCTGCCTCCAGCTTTGATCGTTTGTTCAGCCCTTCGGACTCTCCAGAGAGATCTCCTGCATCCCCACTGCCCCCGCGGAGGGCCCGGTCCAGCCCTGTGAGCCGCACTGAATTGGGACGGAATGGGGCACAGTTGTCTCCTGCACTGAGATGCATCCCAAGAACTACCTCACCCACTTCTGAGTAAGTTGTGTAAGATCAGCAGCTTATGAGGGAAGGTACGCGAATCATGGAATCATAGAAAAGTGAAGATGGAAGGGGCTTTAAAGTGCTGTCATACCAAAGTAAGGGACGTGGCGGCGCTGTGGGTTAAACCACAGAAGCCTCTGTGCTGCAGGGTCAGAAGACCAGCAGTCCTAAGATTGAATCCACGCGACAGAGTGAGCTCCTATCATTTTGTCCCAGCTCCTCGCCAACCTAGCAGTTCGAAAGCATACAAAATGGAAGTAGATAAATAGGTACCACCTCTGTGGGAAGGTAACAGTGTTCCGTGTCTAGTCGCACTGGCCACGTGACCACGGAAACTGTCTTCGGACAAACACTAGCTCAATGGGTTGGAAACGGGGATGAGCACCGCTCCCTAGAGTTGGACACGACTGGACTAAATGACAAGGGGAACCTTTACCCTTACCTTTATCATACCGAAGCTCCCAAAAGCTGATCAACAGGATACTTTTCTGTGAATTAGGGGAACCTTTACCTTTACCTTATCATACCAAAGCTTCCAAAAGCTGATCAACAGGATACTTTTTTGTGAATGTACTGAGCGGCTTTAGGTCAAGTCAGATCATGTTTGCTCCAGTTGGCAGTGATCTTGCATGGCAGCCTTCTGCCACCCAACACTATAGCTTCCTCTGTCCCCACTGGGTGTGCCCCGTGTTAATGGGAGTTGTAGTCCATCACACCAGGATGGTGCCAGTTTCCCTCCCCCCTTCATATGATTAAATCTGGCACCTTTAGATGGAAAGTGGGTATTCTTGACTGTCCACAAGGGCTCTCTACCAGATCTAGTTACGTTTTGGAACCACAAATCCAAGAATCCTACAATGGCTAGACAATTCTGGGAGTTGTAGTCCTAGGGAAAAGTAACTTCCCCTTCTGTGCTCTTTGCCTAAAATGAGGCTGTTTTATATTGAGCTGGACCGCTAGGCCATCTAGCCCAGTACAGATAGGCAGCAGAGCTCCGACATCGCAGGCAGGACCGCTAGGCCATCTAGCCCAGTACAGAGCTCCGAGATCTCAGGCGAAAATCTGCTTTGGTCTGCAAGTGCATCCATCAATCCCAGGGGAACCTGTGCAGTTTATGTACCACGATCTCAAGCTAATCCTCAAAGGCTGCCTGCCGCCTACAACTGTCCATTCTGTGTCTCTGCAGAGCAGACACTTCCCCACAGCAGAAGCGGCGAGACCTGTACCAGGAGATCCGCTCGTACATCTGGCAGGAGCATGGGCGGGCACAAATCCGTGGCTGGAGCCAGCCGCCTACGCTCCAGGTGAGCATCCTGGGTGCCTGCCACCGTGTCTTGTAGTTAGGCATCCCAAAGAGGTACATCCCTGTGCTAAGAAATAGGTCTTCATATGCTATTTTTTTAAAAAAAAACACACACACAAGTAAGAGGAGGGAGGTTGGCATGATGTTCTGTATCTGGGTTTCAACACAGCTGACATTGTATAGACAAAACCGTACAAGCGAAATGAGCCTGTATGTATTTGCTTTTATTCACAATGTTATCAGCCAGCAGTGCGATCTCTTGCACAGGTTGTATTTATCTTCCTCCACCGTTATAATGGAGTGTGTTCCTTGTTAGGAGCTGGAAACTCTTTAAGATGAGTCCCTGCATGTTAAAAGTTTGTTTTCTTTGCTCTGCAGGGTCAGGACTCCTCCCCAGGAGATGCCGACGTCCCTATGCTTGTGCAGCTACGGATGCTAGACCAGAAGGATCCCAGTACCAAGGTTGTTAAAACAACGTGTTTACAAACTTTGAGTGGCTTGTGGGATGATTTTCTTTGATCCTCATTAAAATCAGAGAAACATCTCATTCAGATTGGTACAAAGTGGCCCCATCTTTGCTGTCCTTCCGCAAGCAGGCAAAGGCCATCCTCTTTAGGCAAGCTTTCTCTTAGTGACTGCCTTTATCACGACATGGCTGGGCTACATGAGTAACTTTTAGATGGATTGTTGTGCATTACTGCTCTGACTGGGTCTTTAGTGTTTAATATTTAACTTATTGTGTTCTTAATTGTGTGAATTTAAATGTTGTGAGCTGTTTTGGGTCCCTTGTTGGGAGAAATGCATCATCATCATCATCATCATGGTAGTAGTAGTAGTAGTAATACCTGTGCTTACCCTCTCTCAGAGTGGTATTCATTTGTTTCTTTTTAAATATTTGCATACTTACTGCTTTAGCTTTAATGTTGTCTTTTAATGATGTAAACCGCCGTTGTATACTCATTGTTTTCAGCTATAGATAATGTCTTTCAAGCATTTAAGCTGCCTTTTTAAGGAGAAGGGTGGGGTAAAAATATAGTAAATACGTAAATAAATACTATTTTTCCTGCACTACATTGCCAATGAAAAGGTTTCCTTTTATTTATTTAATTTATTTATTTATTTAATTTATATGCCGCCCACACTACCCAAAGGTCTCTGGGCGGCTTTTAGAATAAGGTGTGTAGACACAATGGGTCTGGCTGGTCAATTTTATTAGACCTCTGAAGGTTATACCCACCCCACCCCACCCCAAAATGTATTTGGTTTTTTAAAAAGATTTTTCAGGACTTTGAAAAGCACAAAAATGGGTAGATAGCCTTAAAATGGGCAGTGATTGGGAAACTTCTCTATTGTCTATTTTTAGACCAAATATTTACAGTATTTGCAGTGTGGGAGGACCTCGGGCTGTATGCGAGGGGACACTTCAAGAGCTGCACAGATGGATTTAAGACTGTGTGTGTGACTCCATCCACACAATTCCCACCGGTTTCAGAATGTGTGGGAAAAGAAATGGACAAGTTCAGATCAGTGTCTTCTGTTCAGACTCTGTGATCTCAGAAGAAACCTTCCATTTTAATTGTGTAGTGTTCTCTCCTTGTCCTGTGACATGCTTAACGAAGGCTTTTGGTTGCTGGTGGGATGGAGACAATGTAATTCCTGTTTAAAATTAATCTAAAAGCAAAATCGGAAGGCTATCTTAAACTCTCTCTCCCGCTTCCTTTTTCTCCCTCTCTCCCCTCCCCCCCCCCCTTTTACAGCTCTGGTGTGCTGCAGTATCCCTTGGGCCAGAGACTCAGGAAATACCAGAGACTGTAAGTATTGATTTCTGCACCTAGATTTGAGAATATCTGATTTAGGAAGCTTGCCTGGCTTTCAGTTTTGGGAGAAATTAATAAGGACCACTTTATTTAAGGTGGCTTGCAGTTTGGATACTATTTTCCTATTATATACAGTTTTACATTAAAAAACAAAATGATATAAAATATAATATCATAAATTTACAATTTTAACAGTTAATTTAAATCAAAGAGTCCCAAGATGGCAAGAATAAAAGAGGAAAATAAGAATGACTTAATTGACTGAAGGGAAGGCCTGCTTGAATAGCCAAGTTTTCAGCTGGCTTTTGAAAATGCCAGTTAGAAAATGTAGTTTCTAACAATATTCTATTAGTATTTTTTTCTTTTTTTTAACTCCTTGCACATTGCTTTGGGAACTTTGCTGAAAAGTACCATACTTTAATAGATCTCCGTTTTTGCAGTTAGAAAAATCAGCTGTAAAACCATTTAAGTTTCCGCTAGGGCAGGAATTTCGCTCATTCTTCCTTCTCTAGCTCTGTGGGTGTCAGTTGACAGATGTTACTGGCCTCACAAATGTTTCATTTGTTTATTTATTTGTTTGTTTGACTTTTATACTGCCTATCTGCCCGAAGGCCACTCTGGGCAGTTTACAACATTGAAAATAACAGTAACAGTAATAAGGCAACAACAGCATAACTAAAAATTCAAAATGAAAACATAAATTGACAATATATTACAATATTTTTTTAAAAAATTAAAAAAGTAGTAAGCACTAATTAAAATCAATTAGTGGCCTGTCTTGTGAACACCTGACTTGGCAGATGGTCAGTCTGTAGCCCAGATAGAAGGGGTTGGAAGGAAAGGAGAAATGTTGTTCCATTTTGAACACTGTTCCATTTTGTATACATGTCCTGTGTACTTATTTGTGTTGACAAAGCAGGAGACTGTGTAATGAGTGCAAAAGCTGCATTTTAGGAATGGTGCCTTGATCTCTCGCTGCCTCCTCCCTTTCTGTTTTCTCTAGGGTAGCCCTTCTCAGCGTGTCACCGGCTGCTCTCAGCTGTGGGTTGCTGCAGGGACTCATTCTGCCAGTGAAGTGACTCTTTTTGCTGCCCAGAACTCAAACCACATCCTGGAACACTTCGTCTTGCCTGGAGTTCATGTCCTCTCAGTTGCATGTGTGCCTGGTAAGTGTGGGGAGGGATGGTGGGATGTTTGAGGGCAGACAGGATCACGTCCTGAGGCAGTCTTATCCTTCTTGCTGCCCTCCAGATACGCTGGACTACAACTACTAACATGCCCAGCCACTGTGGCCAAAAGTCAAGGGTGCTGGGAGTTGTAGTCCAATACTGTCTGGAGAGCCACACAAATAGTTTAATAATAAGTAATAAATAAGTAATATCACACTAAGATGATCACCCTTCCTCTTAATGTCGTTGGACAGTCTACTGAGATAATGTTCAGTCTGTGCGCCTTGCCCCTTTAGTACTTAATGCAGAGGGTGACATGGTGGAATAATTGTATAGCCCAGTGGTTGATGATGATGATAATAATAATAATAATAATAATAATAATAATAATAA